GACAAAGGAGGATGTTGGGGGTGGGGGGAGTCAGTTACAGGAGATTACCACTAAAGCACAGTAAACAAGAGTAAGGTTATTATGCAGATTTAAGGCCTCACCTTCCACACTGATAAGCCTTTAGAAATGAGGCCATTCCCCCGTCTTCCCAAAACAGAGAGGGAGATACCTTTACAAATGGAGATTTCCCTTATAAATGTAAATGTTTGTCTGGTAACTCCTTGCAGGGCCATCCAGAGAATGTGGCCAGAGAGACAGAACTTCCGATAAGCTGGGCTTGTTGGTGCCTTTCCTATTGTAACATTTATCCTACATTATCTTTACAGCCATCATGATAGAAGATCTGTTCCAGGAAGGAGCCACCATGTCAAATTCTTTAGGCAGTTAGTGGGGGAGGTCAAATGTCCCTCAGAGAAAACAATCAAGGTAAAGAGATATATTTCAGGGTGGCCAAATCTTGATCTCCCACACTGGCATCCCTGCTTGTTTCCCCGCTAGATCCTTAAATCCTCACAATTATCACATAATAGTGAATATTAGGATCTCCATTTTACAGATGAGTGAACTGGAGGGTCTGTCACCCACTTCACACAATCTATTATTAAGATCTCCTGTGGGGGCTGGCCCGGTGGTGCAGCAGTTAAGTGCACGCTCTGCTGTGGAGGCCCGGGGTTCGCAGGTTCGGATCCCAGGCGCGCACCCACGCACCCCTTGTCAAGCCATGCTATGGCAGCGTCCCATATAAAGTAGAGGAAGATGGGCACGGATGTTAGCCCAGGACCAATCTTCCTCATCAAAAAAGAGGAGGGTTGGCATCGGATGTTAGCTCAGGGCTGATCTTCCTCAAAAAAAAAAAAGATCTCATGTGACAATGAATATAATTAATTTATAAAAGACTAAGAGCTATATAACTAGAAGACATTATTATTTTTTATACATTAGTCTTTGTGTGGTAACAAGTGTTTATATTTTCTTCGCCAATAGTAGAAGGAATTGATTATCTCTACGTAAAGAAATCCTTTTAATGATAATTAAAATAAAAATTTAAGAATGCTGCTGTACTCAGGTGCAATGCAAATAATGAGGGTAGTCTACCCCACACATTTCAGGTTAATCCCTTCTCCCCTGAGGAGAAGCCGGGGCTCTGGTCTCTGGAGGTGAAAGGCTAACACATTTCCTGGTTGTGCCATTTTCTCCCCTTTCTCTGATGCTTTATTTTTCTCTCATTACTCTTGATGGGAGTTTTTAGTAGAGCTCAGCACTGGCTTATCCCAGGAAGAAAAAGATTGTCGGAAATAAACGTGTGATGAGTGGTGCAAAAAACAACAGTAGCAATATTCTAAATTTATTATGGAGACAAAGAACATTGCCCATAGAGTTTAATCTTTAGAAGTTCAAAAAACAAGGATTTCTAGCCAAATAAATAAGACGAGTTTTCTTCCTCTGGGACTTATGCCTGTTTTATTGCTAGCAAGTCTTTCAACTTAACCATCTCCCAGCCAAACTCTTCCTTGTCCTTAATTAGCATCAGGAGTTTTCATTAGCTATTTTATGAGTTATTTGTTAGTGATCCTCGTTAGCTTTGCCATGGTCTTAAATTTGTTTGACATTTACTATCTTACTACATAAGATTTTATGGTTAATTCTCAGTGTATACAAGCTAGGCTTCTGGTCATTTTTTACAATGTATGTTTTCACATTTTACAGAATCTTTTGTATCTTAACTTTTTAAAATAATTTTATATAAATGACTGGCATCCAATTTATCAGGCTTCCTCATATCTTTATACATAGAAATAAGAGAAACTAAATAAATATATATCCCTGTTAATGGTAGATCTTTCCAGAAATAGAAAAATATTGTATTCAAGTTTCATGTTTCTGTAGAATAAAAGAATTTAATGTAATATTGTAATTTGGCTTTATAGCCAAACTCTACTATTTTTCATTCTACACTTACTGAGCACATATGCTCAAAGTATTGTCCAAGGAGCTGGGAATAAAGTAATGTTTCTGCTTCCAAGTTGCTGGACTATATAGTGAAGAAAAATTTCAACAAATCCAGTTATTTCACTGATTTAGATATGTTTTATTTCTTTTGTGTGTGTGTGTGTGTGTGTGAGAGGAAGATCGGCCCTGAACTAACATCTGCCAATTCTCCTCTTTTTGTTGAGGAAGACTGGCCCTGGGCTAACATCCGTGCTCATCCTCCTCCACTTTATACGGTACGCCGCCACAGCATGGCTTGACAAGTGGTGCGTCAGTGCGGCCCGAGATCCGAACCAGCAAACCCCGGGCTGCCACAGCGGAGCACGAGCACTTAACCGCTTGCGCCACCCGGCCGACCCCGATACATTTTATTTCAAAGTGTGTTATTCTCCCTTTTGTTCTCCATGTTAAAAAAGCACAAAACAAAAGGCCATCATCCATGCAATAATATTCTTTTTTTAATTTTGTGTTTAACCACTTGTATTCCTGTTTTGTTATTCATTCCATGGTTATAAGGGCCTAAAATTTGCCAGGTATTAGGGACACATCAATGAACAATACAGAAAAGGTTCATTATATTCAAATGAAAAAGGAAATTTAATAAATGTAAAAAGTGTAAAAGGTAAGTAAATAACTAATTTCAAGTAATGATGATTGCTATTCTCTCAACAGTAATTTTTTGAGGACCTACTCTGTGCTAATACTGATCTATAAAGTAATTCATATAGAGCGATGGGAGGGTGCAGGTCTAGGCGAGCTGTCTTATATTAGCTGTTCAGGGAAGGGCACTCTGAGGAGATGACATTTGAACTGAGACCTAAATGACCAGTAGAAGCAGAAGAGTTTCTTAACCCGGGTCCTGAGAGTCTGGATAGAATTCAGGAGACTTGACGGGAAACTTGGATGAGAAAAATAATTACATCTCTATTTTCACTAAACTCAGACTGAAATTTGGCATTCCACCATCTGAGTGTAGGCAACAAACCTCAGTAGTATTAGCAGCAGCTGTTACTTTGTGAGTGATATGTTCATATCACATCTCAGTTCTTGCAGGTATTTTGAAATATCATCATTGCTTTGAAATTATGGTATTTCTTAGATCTGCTACTAGATCTGATTATACATTGTGTTAATAAAGAAGCACGTATATTACTGTATTGGTTATGTGTTCCTGTGTAATCACCCTAAAATTTAAGGCCGTAAAACAATAATAGCCCATGAGTCCGTGGATCAGCAATTTGGGTTGTACTCAGCTGGGCAGTTCGTATGGACTTGCCCGATGTCGCTCATGTGGCTGCCGTCATCTGGCCACTCAACTGAGCCAAATAGTCCAAGATGTCTCACTCTCGTGCCCAGCAGCTGGTGCCGACTGTGGGCTGGGTCACGTGGCTCTGGCAGTCTAGCCCAGGCTTCTTCATATGGTGGCAGTGTCCCAAGAGAGAAAGGGCGAGAGCTGCAAGGCCTCTTGAGGCCGAGGCCCAGAAGTCCCACCTCGCTTCCCCTGCGTTCTGTGGGTCAAAGCGAGTCAGAGGCCAGTTCGGAGTTGGTTTGAGAGGAGACTCCGTAGAATGTGACCACAGGGAAGTGTGATTAATTGGGGGCCATTACTAGAATAATCTACCTGATTACCATATCATAATCTTTTAAAATGTTATAACCGGTATCCTTTGTAATCCTATCTTTTATGCTGTAAGGGAGGAAAACATCCTTCCACCCTCTTAGGTTCTGTGACTGGGCCTAAGAATTAAACCGACATAAGACAGATTAACAGGAAAAAAGCATACAAATTTATTTAAATTTTTTATGTGTCCATGGGAGGCTTCAGAAGGAAAATGAGGACCCAAAGATGCCATTAGGCCCAAAAGCTTACATAGCTTTTTACACAAAGAACAATAAACTGGCGATGTGACAAGAAGTGATAAATTGGACTAGAGGCAGTAAATTGTGGGTCAGTGACTAGGAAATATATGGAGAAACTAAGGGAAGATCAGGGCTATTTTAGTAGGTCTGTTTACAGAGTCCATTTTGGCATCAACTCCCAGTCTCTTGTGGTAAGAATGTTCTTCTCTTCCTGGTTCAGGGAGGGCATCTTTCTCCGGGGAAATTTTGTGTCCCGCTTTTAGGTAGAAAGTGGGGAGTCACAGAGCCCTTCCTGCATTTACTGTTTTTTAAGTGCTTTCAGCTTAAAATAATCAGTATGCCAAAGTAGGCATATTTTGCGATGGTATGCTCTGAATCCTTTCAGTGCCCTTTAAGATATTATTCCCAAGAGAGGTTCATTGGCTTCACCGCATTATTGAAGAGGGCCATGGCACAAGTGAGGTTAAGAATCCCTGATCTGGAGGCAGGGAGTTTGGGAGCGGGAGTGCAAAAGCCTCAGGCAGGAGCAAGCTGGCAAGTCCAACACGGTGAGGGAACAGAAGGAAGGCTACTGTGGCTGAAGCCGAGTGACTGAGGGCAGAGTGGCTGGACAGAGGCAGGGGCAGAGCATGTGGCTTATTGGAAAGATTTTGAGACTTGTCGAGGGACCCCTCCAGAGTATGGAAAGTTGATATTGTGTGCATACTAATCTATAATTCTCTTTTACATTTCGTAATGTATTTTGGCTATCTTTCCATTTTAGTGCATAAAGCTCCTCATTTTTTTCTCATTCTTTTTAATAATTTTATAATGCTCCATTCAATGGATGCACGATAATTTATTTCGTTTCCCGCATACCAAACATTTAGACTGTTTCCAATTCCTTGTGTAAATATACATGGATTTATTTTTCTTTTTTATTTACCTCTATGGAAATAAGAATGATTTTTAGATGTAGAATTGCTGGATCACGTGTACGTGCTTTTAAGGTTTTGACAGATATCACTAAATTACCCTTCAAAAAAAGATGGGACTGACTTACACTCCATTAGGTGTTTTTATTATTATTTTTAACTACCAAGACTGTATCCACACTTCATAAAATCTAGAATAAGAAAGTTTTGTACTGACTGTTTATTCTATTATTTCAGAACAATGAGATGGTGGAGCTACAGAGAATACGGATGAAGGATGAAATCCGAGAATATAAATTCCGAGAGGCCCGCCTCCTTCAGGACTACACTGAACTGGAAGAAGAAAATATCACGTTGCAGAAACTCGTGTCCACGTTAAAGCAGAACCAGGTGAGATTAGGAAGTGTTTTGGTTACGCTCCAGGTGTTTCCACATCTTCTGACCCCTAAGGTTAAATCTTCTCTTTATTTCTCAGGACAAAACCTGTTGAAATTCGCCTTAATCTCGCTACAATATATATGTGCTGAAATTTCCCAACCTCCTATATCAGCTAAAATTTAGAAGGCAACCTAGAAGTAATATAATTTACAATAAAGCTTCATTGGATAGGAAGAATTTTAGTTTATACTTTAGCTCTATGTTAATTTATTTCAGGAGTAAGTCAAATGTATTGTAATCAACTTAACCTGACGTCTTCTAATTAAAAGCCTGGATCTGTAAGCTTGTTTTATACAAGCTTAAAGTCTCCCTGCAATCACTTCTTGCTCTCTCTCTCTCTCTGTAAATTGCTTTCAAACCATACACAGAAAGAGATTATGAATTATAAACAATAAGAACAAAATTGTAAGAAAAAGAAAATGCCTGATTTCTTTTTTCACCTGACTAAAAAGATTGCATGTGTACATTTAAATAAATTTTTTGGTAGTGATAGCTTAATTGCATAATTTTCCTGATTGGTTTGCATTGTGGTTTGTTGTAGTTGTTAGTAATAGCATTCTTGAATCCGTAATTTTAGAAGAATTTATTCATGAATACGAGTCTATCAAGTACCTAAGCAAAGGTGAATTGGATGTTTAAGGTCTTTTCAAGGTTCTTCCTCAACCACAACCTCTGTTCTGTTCTAAACGCTGTCACAACCTCTCAGGTCAGGTCAGCAAACTATGTGTCAGGTGCTGTGCTAGGCTAGGGAGATCGAGTCCATAGGGTAGGATTCTTGCCCTCAGCAAACTTAGAGGCCAGCCCAGATGCTTCTACTTCTACTCCTTTCGCAAGCTGGTATCTCTATCCAAAACTATTGCTGGTTTTGATAGACATAAGGGTTAAGAGAGGAAGAGAAAAATCCAGGGGAAAAAAAATCCATGTATTGACACAATTGAAATTGGATTTCTGATTGTTGCCACCTGCCCCCAGCTTTGGAGTGTTGGGGGAACAAGATGTCTGCTAAGGAGTGCAGGGGGTGGTTTCAGAGCATTAAAAAAGGATTAATAGGATATCCCATGTGTTTTTCCCTCACTCCTCCCCCTTCCAGCCCTGAATCACTGTGTGTGTGCTGACGCTGGTGATACCGTGGGCGTCCCAGGTCTTGATTTGGCTGGGGTCAATGAGCTCACAGTGGAGAAAATTAGAAGAATTTTTTTTTAAATATACTTCTCAGAAACTTCTTAAAATAAGAAGAGTATTTTTGGTTGTTTGTTTTTTTGGTCACTGATGAAGAATGTAGAGGACTTGAGGCAAATTTACTTGGAGTGCAAATATTTGAAGTGGTCGTTACTCCTGCTTGCACACGTCCTTACTGCTCTCTGCACGGGCAGGAGTGTCCCGACCTCCCTGTAGAGCCTCCCATCACTGCCTGTGGAAGACTAATTTACCCAGGAGGTTAATTTAGGCCAGTATTGTGTGTTCTTGAAGGACTGCCAAGGTATCCTGTGAGCGTTCATTAACCCAGATGCTGTTTCTGTGGGAATTTGGACTATCTGGCTGATTACTGTTTACGGCTCACCCGTGTTCTTCCACCAGGACCTGAAACATGGGAATCAAATGCTTAACTCAGAAATCTGAAAAAAAAAAACCCAAACAAACAGGAAAATGTACACATCTCTTTAATTTTATTCTCTAGATGCACTATGGTAATTTTCCCAGTTAAGTGTCTAATTAGTTCATTTGAAATCATTTTCCTTACAAAGGGCCATTCTGGCTTATTCTCTGACAGATGGGTGCGCTGTGGTGTCACAAGTCTCTCCCAATTAAGGAAATGCTGGATTTTTTTCTTACTGTTGGCCTTTATTGATAGGAGTTAGCATCTATCATAAACTCTTTTTCTAATTAATGAAGTTTTAAGTATAATATTTTATGTACAAAAACCACAGAATTTTTCAAAGAGGTGGCAGTGGCTGGCTTTCAATCTCAAAATTGGTCTGAATGTTGCTTTGTACTGAAGCTCCCTATGCAAAGTCTACTCGTCCAGCCTGGTTTGATGTTTCCATAAACAGCAAACTACTAGCATTATAAAATGCCTAGTTCAAAGAACTAGAAGGTTCTTTCCTGCTGAAGTCCCATTTTTCTTTTAAGTATTTATTGATTATTTTCTAAATAACTGTTGTTTAAATAGCACTTCTTACTGCCTATATAGTTTCTATATATTCGTCTGTTTATTTTGCATTTCCCTCCACTGTGATATAGCACTTAGAACAGAGCCTGGCCCATAGAAGGCATTGAATAAATATTTGTTGAAACACTGAATAAACTGCTTCCTCTTTCTCTTACATTCACTCTTTGACTTAGAGAGGAAACTAAAATTTAATATTATTATAATTAACCAAACCAATTTTTATTTGTGATCCTGAATATGAAATATATGGGAACATCAAAGAGTTAACTCTGAAAACTTCGCCACATCTCTCTGTGTGCTGATTTGGTTCTGTGTCCAAAATGAAATCAAGTCCAACCTTATAAATACATTTTACACCTTTATACTTTTTAAAATCAGAATATCTGAAAGAAACGTAGGAGGAAGCAGCAGCCATAAAGAGCGGTCAAGTCAACCATCAATTCCCCAACAGACCACCAAAAAGATCCATCGATGAGGCAAAGCTGTTTACTAGACCTCTCGCAGTAAGAGACCACCTCGACAGAGCCTTAGTAATGTCTCACGTGGGAGATACTGGGGAAGGGTGTCGTAGAATTTTAGGATCTGGACTAGGTTTTACACGATAGGAAACTGGTTGGGATAGATTGGATTTGTGACGTAATAGCTTTGAGTTGGGAAGTACAACAAAGTGAGGGTCTTGACGTGAATCTTTCAGTTGGGTCTCATCTTCCAGGAGCCAATATTTCCCATAAGCAGCTAACTTTTTTATGCCCCATTCGAGTATTGGTTAACATAGGGGCAGGAAAATTTGGCTGGTCCTGGTATTACTTAACATAGGGCAGGAAATTATGTTAGTTTTCATGTTTAGAGATGTGATCGTGGAAGGAGGGGAAAAATAAATTCCGTGTCCCTACTATCTCACGTATTGAACTAAAGCACTCAATATTTGTTATCTAAGCATCAAAAACCCTTGTTAAAATTAATTCAATCATACTTCTGTTATGAAGAACATTTCCTACAGGGATATATTTCTATATCAGGTAATAATATCATAAGAGACCTGGGGAACGCATTCAATTTAGTTTGATTTCATTTAACCAGTATTTTAAGGGTAACTTTCTATGAGGCTATGCACTTTTTTAAGGACGAAAGACGTGGTTACTGGAACAAAGAGCTCATAGTCCCAGTAGGGAAGGCAGGTAATAAACTCATAGCCATCCATGTAATTGCATATGAAAGCTGTGTGTGAGGTTTGGCAATACAGGGCCAGATTAAGGTCTTTAGAGTTCATAAACTCTAAAAAGATTATGGTACATATCCCCAACCCTCATGTAGTTAGAAATAGTAAAAACTATGAAGTTGCTATAAGGAATTCCAAAAAAGTACTGATTTTTCTCATAGTGACTACTTTGATGCTGTCTTTAAAATATCAAACACCAATGTTTAAGTGTCTTCTCATTCTGTTTCTTTGTGCCTCCGCTTTGCTGGGGCTCTAACCACATGATGCACCCTTTCAATGATGGCACCAGAAAAGAGTGATCTGTTTGCCTGAGTGGGTCAACAGAGACTTCAGAGTTAGGATTGGATTCTTGACTTGGGTCTTGAAGGATGAATAAGAGTTTTCCACATGACAGCCTTTGCCTAGGCAAAGAAACACGAAACCAGTGAGTGAAGCTGCCAAGATAGAAAGAGATCAGGTCTTATACAAAGTCTACCATCAATTAAATAGGAATTACAGAATTAAAAAAATCTACAATGCAAACTAAATTAATGTCTTCAAGTCTAGCCCAGGAGTCAGCAAACTTTTTCTATAAAGGGCCAGATAAAAAATATGTTAGGTTTTGCAGACCTAACGTATGTCTAACAGTGTCTCATCCAACCACTCCACTGTGCTGTTGTAGTGTGAAAAGCAGCCATAGACAATATGTAAACAAAATAGTGTGACTGTGTTCCAATAAAACTTTATTTACAAAAATAGATGGTGGGCTGGATTTGGTCCAGAAGCACAGCGATATTCGATAATCCCTAGTCTAAACCATCAGTTTAACAAGGATTGCAGAATACAAGGTCTACAATGCAAACTAAATTAATGTCTGCAAATGTAAGCTATCACATAATCTGGGGGCAGTCAGAGGATTGGTTGAAATACGAGGAGAGGCTGATAAGGGGGTGTCCTGAGTTATCCCGGGAAAGAACATAAGAAGGTCAGGAGCAAGATGACTTTACAGTATATAAGCAGGCCTGGAAGAAACCATGACACAAGGACACAGACTCTGTTATCCCAAGCAATTTCCATGATTTAACTCTTTTGAGTGATTCTATCATGGACGTGTGAAATTCCAGTTATCTTGTATAGCAGTGAGCGCTGGTTGTCCATCAAATATCCATTGTTCCCTTCTCCCAGTGTTTTACCCAATTTTAACTGGACACAAGGCTACCCAGAGTAAAGACTACATTCTTCACCTCGCTTGTAAGTAAGGGTCATATGACTAGTACTGGCCAGAGGGATATGAGGAGAAGTGGTAGGGGCATCTTTTGAGACACCTCCTTAAAAGGAGAGAGTATGCCCCTTACTTTGTCCCACTGCTTGGAACATGATCAAGATGGCAAGCTATGTTAGATCATGTGGACCAGAGTAGGAGGCAGTGCACTGTGATACAAGGAGCCTGGTTCCTGGATGTCCTCATGGAGCAGAAATTCCCTGCTGGCCCTTGACTGGCTACCTCCATTCTGTTACTTGAAAGAGAAATAAACTTCTGTCTTGACTAAGTCACTCTTATTTAGGTCTCTGTTACATCAGCCAGTCCTACATCCTAACTAAACCTCTATCAAAAGCTGTTATCCTAACCTTTGCAAGACAAGCCATGGCACTGAGATTATGTGAAGAAGGAGGGGATAGAAATATATGAAAATGATAATGGTCTATGATCCCTATTCTTTAATTTTTAAAATCTTTCTTAGGGCCGGCCCCGTGGCTTAGCAGTTAAGTGCACGCGCTCCGCTGCCGGTGGCCCAGGTTCAGATCCCGGGTGCACACCGACGCACCGCTTCCCTGGCCATGCTGAGGCCGCGTCCCACATACAACAACTAGAAGGATGTGCAACTATGACATACAACTATCTACTGGGGCTTTGGGGAAAAAAAAAAAAAGAGGATGATTGGCAGTGGATGTTAGCTCAGAGCCGGTCTTCCTCAGCAAAAAAAATAAGAGGAGGATTAGCATGGATGTTAGCTCAGGGCTGATCTTCCTCACAAAAAAATAATAAATAAATAAATAAAATAAAATCTTTCTTAAAATACACATTTAAACTAATATAAATACTAAGATCTAAAACTAAACACATAGTTTATATTAGTATCTAATACCATAGTGACTTTATTACTTTTTGTCAGTTTTATTTGTTTATTTATTTATTACTTTTTACGTCAGTTCAGAGTAGAGATCTCTTTTACCTGTGGACTTTCATGGCCAAGAGGGTGTCTGAGCAGGTTCTTATTTGATTATAACTCAAAAGAATATTAAATTGATAACAATATATATTTTTTGTTATTGGATAATGGGTAGTGTTATTCCAGATTCTATCCTTAAGCACATTCACTTTTTCTTTGCTTCCTCATCTTACTCTCAAACATATTTTGAGATTATGTTCTTATTGTGATCTTTTAACTAATTTATCTCTGGGTATAAAACTTTTCTCGTTATTAATAACTAAATAAAACAAGGTAATAGGGATGATAAAATCTTTTCTTAGATTGTGAATATTCTGATAAACTATTACCAAAAAATATTCCTGATTGATTAGACAAACAGTGCCCCCTTTTGACCATTGGACCCCATAAAAGAAATCTGAAAAGTGACGCCTTTTTCTTCTCTGTGAAGAGTTGAATGGTATATAATTTTACATATAATATTTATATTATATTATTATAACATATAATTGTATATTATATATATAATTTCTAGGAAACCATCCTGTGTTTCATTAAGAGTCTACTGTGTGCTTTTTATGATTTATTTTGTAGACTAATGTTACAATTTTTTAGATGATTAGGTCCACTAGAGTGTTTAATGGCAGTTTTGTAAGACCCAAATTTTAGTTTTATGAATCTTCTTTATCCTACCTAATTCAGGTTGAATATGAAGGCTTAAAGCATGAGATTAAGCGATTTGAGGAGGAGACAGTGCTCCTGAATAGCCAGCTGGAAGATGCCATCCGGTTGAAAGAGATTGCTGAGCACCAACTGGAAGAAGCCCTTGAGACCTTAAAAAATGAAAGGGAACAGAAGAACAACCTGCGGAAGGAGCTCTCACAGTACATCACCCTCAATGACAACCACATCAGCATCTCCGTAGATGGACTCAAGTTTGCCGAGGACGGGAGTGAACCCAACAATGATGACAAAATGAACGGGCATATCCATGGGCCCCTTGTGAAACTGAATGGAGACTATCGGACTCCCACACTAAGGAAAGGAGAGTCTCTACACCCTGTTTCTGACTTATTTAGTGAGCTGAATATATCAGAAATACAGAAATTGAAGCAGCAACTTATGCAGGTAAGAACTTTGTTTCAGGCCATGAGAGTGAATTTTTTGTAGATTGTGTGTAGCATGTTGTGGGGATTTCTTATTCTCCCATTTTAGTTCCAGATTATTTTTTTTAATATTGCTTCTTCAACTAGCAACCTTGAAAGTACCGTGTCTTAGAAAAACACAACCAAAGAGGTGTTGAAGAGAAATCTCTCATTTATATTGCTTTAAGAAATTTATCTCTTAGAGCCACAAATTAGATTGCAATCAGGTGTGAAGGGAGACAAGCCAGCGTCTTGATGCATTTCTGACTAACGAGAGCATTCAAAAGCTTTATATACAAGTGAAATATCAGAAAATGAAGTTTTCCATCACAAGCAACTGTATGTATAGCTTCAAGATTAATGGTTACACTTCACAGCAATACTTTAAGCTTTAAAAGACACGAAGGACTATCTGTATACAACCTAGCCAGGATATCAATGATTAAAAACACAGAACAGGCATAAATCTGAAACCAAGGAGTTCTTATCCCAACATGAGCTAAGCCTTAAATTTATAGCATCTTCAGCATCTTCAAATCAAAAGTCTTGTGAAGAGTCCCAGCCTTTAAGCTTATCTCACTGTAAAATGACTTTCTAGTTTAGTCTTGCCTCCCCACCGTCCTTTAGTCCAGTGCTAATAGAAATGTTGTCTGAGGAACAGCATCGCCACCACTGCCATCACCTGGGGGCTTCTTAGTCCTACACATTGTTGGGCTCCACACAGATCTACTGAGCCAAGAATCTGGTTCAACAAGCTTGTTAGGTAATTAAGTTTAAGGCTTATCCTTCAGTGTGTCACCCCTCCAAGGTTCTTTGTGTATAGCTGATAATTAGAGGCTGTTAAGACACTGGCAGTCGTTTATTTTTGTAGCAAACAGGGCTTATATTTTTCTGTCTCTACAGAAATAATGACTGAAAAATGAAATTAGCAGAAATCAACAAGAGACTAGAGAGCCAATGAAGTTAATTTATTATTAGGTGTATTTTATTTTGTTTATTTTATTTATTTATTTATTTATTTTTAAAGGAGCCCTTCCTCTACAAGCATTGAGGAACCACCAGTTTTTGGGTTTTCTTTGCAGGGAAGGATTCACCCTGAGCTAACATCTGTTGCCAATCCTCCGCCCCCTTTTTTTTCTCTTCTCCCCAAAGCCCCAGTATATGGTTGTATATCCTAGTTGTAGGTCCTTCTAGTTCTTCTAGTTACATGGCAACTGACAGACCGGCGGTGTGGTTCGGGGACCGGGAAACAAACCCGGGCCACCCAAGTGATGAGAGCACCGAACCTTAACAACTATATCATCAGGGCTGGCTCTATTAGGTTTATTTTTAATACTATTTCAAGAGTTAACAAATCCTGCACTTTACCTGCCCAGTGCTTTTGGCTGCTAAAAGAGAATTCATGAGAATTCATTTTCACAATGTTTAATTTGAATCAAGATAAGAGGGCATGGCCACTGGCAGAAAATGACTTAGACATATAGACTTTTACCTGACTGCAATGTCCAGTTCTGTGTAGGTAATACTTTTCTATGTCTTTTTGCTCAGTTTACACTAATATAACTAGGTTCATATAAAACATATTTCCTTGTGAAAAACTTTTACATGACAAATGTAGTTATCTGAATTTGTGCCGCCAAATTAAACAGAATTAATATAAAATTTTTCTTCAGCTATTATGTTGGTGGCTTTAGGATAAAAAATTAGTGGGTTGAAGCTTTCTGTTTCTTCTTTTTATTTTGGTGGCAGTGTAGAAGATACTAGGAAGAGAAGCTTTTATGCATATGTAGGGGAGGAAGACATATCCTCTATCTACTCTGGGTCCATCTGGCTGGGCTATGAATTAAATGACATGAGACAGAGTAACAGGAGAAAATCCAACAAAGCTTTATAACATGTATATGTGGGAGAGACCCGGGAAGAACTGGGTAACTTGCCAAAATGGGGGAGGGGGCTCTCATCTTAAATACCATCTTCAGCTAAAGACAAAGGAGGATGTTGGGGGTGGGGGAGTCAGTTATGGGAGATTACCAGAAAAGCACAGTAAACAAGAGTAAGGTTATTATGCAGATTTAAGCCCTTGCCTTTCACACTGATAAGAGTTTTTAGAGATAAGGTCATCCCCCCCTTCTTTCTAGTACAGAGAGGGAGATGCCTGTACAGATGGAGATTTCCCTTACAAATGTAAATGTCTCTTACAAAGGGTAAATTTTACTTTTCAGAACTTGTCCCATGTCTGCTGTTTTTTTAAAATGATAATCCTCATTAGCCCAAAATAATCTTCATTTCACAGAGACACATTTTGGGGTGGCCAATTCTGATCCCCCACACATAAAACAGTTCACCAGTTTTTAACCAGGTTACCTATTGGTTGAAAGCTGAGAGCTGTCCTCAGATTTAATCCTAAATGTAATCTGACCTGGGTAATACAAAAGTCCAAAAGAGATGAGTATGGGGGCCGGCCCCGTGGCATAGCGGTTAAGTGCACGCGCTCCGCTGCTGGCGGCCCGGGTTCGGATGGCGGGTGTGCACCGATGCACCACCTGTCAGGCCATGCTGTGGCAGCATCCCACATAAAAGTGGAGGAAGATCAGCACAGATGTTAGCTCAGGGCCAGTCTTCCTCAGCAAAAAGAGGAGGATTGGCATGGATGTTAGCTCAGGGCTGATCTTCCTCACAAAAACAAAAACAAAACAAAAGAGATGAGTGGTTTAATAAAAAGAATGGTGGAGAACAAGGTCTCAGCAAGAGAGGGGTTCTCAGTGGGAGTGTCATTTGCATTTGGGGTGGGGCAATTTCTTTTTTTTTTTTTTTTAATTTTATTTATTTATTTTTACCCACAAAGCCCCAGTAGATAGTTAGATGTCATAGCTGAACATCCTTCTAGTTGCTGTATGTGGGACGCGGCCTCAGCATGGCCGGAGAAGCGGTGCGTTGGTGCACGCCCGGGATCCGAACCCAGGCCGCCAGCAGCGGAGCACGCGCACTTAACCACTAAGCCAAGGGGCCGGCCCAGGGCAATTTCTCATTGTCTGAGACTGTCTGGTGAGTTACAGGAGGGTTAGCTTCTCTGGTCCCAACCCACTAAATGCTAGTCACATCTCCTCAGTAGATGTGATGACCAGAAATGCCCCATGCATTTCAAATGCTCCAAGGGTCAACCACTAGTAGTCAACAATCATTCTTAGAGGGACAGCACTTACTCTCCTGTAAAATGGGGATGCATAATACCCTCCTAGAATGCCATGAAGGTGTATGAGTTAATGTATATAGTGTGCCTAGAACAGGGCCAGATGCACAGTAAATGCCCAATAATTGTGAACTGTCATCCCTATTTCAACTCCATAGTGCCTTTAATTTAGTAAGCACTCAATGTATTTAGCTTTTATTAATATTATTGACTGTTACTGTTGGATGATTAACTCAAGGATAGTCATCTCATAGGGGAGTAGCGTGGTCACTGGTAGGAATACAGAAAGATAACAGTTAAGTCTCAGGGTTTGAAAGGTCTGAAGAGGGATGTTCATTTAGGAAAAAGAGTGAGAAAAATTTGGCTGGAAAAACCCTCCTCCAATATGCCAGAAAGCTGTGTACCTTCAAACCTTCCATCAGCGCTTACTTAATGCTGACAATCTGTAAAAATGTAGAGGTTCATGGGCAGGACCTTAGGTCCTAAAGTTGGCTCCAAACTTAGTTGTGAAAACCAGGCTCAACACAAGAAGGGCTTTGCAGCTTCCAGCCTCACACCAAGAACACTAACTTCTAATTTTGTTTTAGGCAAAGGAACTGTCTATCTTCTCATAATCAGCATTTTTAAAAAACACACCAACTTTTCCTAAGAATATATTTCATTCAAACTGCTGAGTACAAGTATAGCAGAATATGTCATCTCACACAGAATTTCTTTATAATCTTTCTCCTTAGCTATGCATCCCCTTGGGTTGAATTTGTATAAATAAACAAATTATAAAAACATCACAGGATACATTGCCTAGAAGTTGTTGCAGTTGGCTTTGATGTAAATGAAAAGCTTGAAAATAATATGGCAATTCTGATAAACAACAATACTTATGCAACTGTTCTGGACCTTTGAGGAGGAGGCAATAAAATGCCCTTTAAATATGGCTATCTGAAACACTAGGGGCCAGATGTGTTTTGAAATTAAATATTCAGTATGTGGAAAGGTAATATGCAGCATATACCGTATATATTGTGATATCCCCAATGGGGTGAGGTGCAGCACTGAAAGACTAACCAATATTAACATTTCTATAGTAAAATATGTTGAGTGTTCACACTAAGAGGAAAAAATGAGACCATAAAAGGCCTCACATGAGTCAAGTGCAATTTTGCTGCTCAGGGAGTTTAGGGCTGTCTGAATATGATAAAACTTTTATTTAGAGCCTTTCTGGATTTTGAAATTGTGACTGTCACAGGTATAGCAATTGCTGTACTATTCAGCTTATAACATCAGCATAGTTTGGATGAAACAGTTTCTGTTTTCATAGTCCCCTTGTATCTCAGGATTTCTTTTGGCCAGGGTCCAAAGCACTGCATCTTAGAGAAAGCTGTGTGCCTTCAAATCCAGCACCTGCCCTTAGTTAATGGTGACAGTTTGTGAAGGTGTGGAGGCGCACAGGCAGGGATGTAACATCCTGAACCAGGGAATATGCAGCTTTTAAGATCTTCTTTCTTAGGTAAAGAAACCCTTTGAAAACAGCGTACCTGGGCCAAAGCCTGTTGGCCTTTTCTTATCTTACAAGGCTCCATCTATGCATTTACATGTATGTTTTCCCATCTATGGGTATTTACTTAACCTGGTTCTGAAAAGAGAAAAAAAAATCTACGTTTCTGCCTTGGTGTCAGGAATGTTGGATGAGTTACTTCACTTCTTGGAGGCGCATTCATAAAGGGAAAGGTAATAAATTAGCCCCATCATTAGTCTCCAGGATGTCTTTTTTGGAATTAAAAAAAAAAAGAAAA